GTATTATCATAACTTTTTTCTTGCAAAACATACAAATATACTCATACTCATGAAACACGAAACAGTAATATTTCTGTGTTCCTTTCAGATTTTTAAGTGATAAATATTAATTAATTCTATTCAAGTGAACCAGGAGCTAATAACAATTTACCAATCCATCGCCAATAACTGATAATGGACAGCTATATGATACTTATGTAGTGAACTATAATTTTACATTGCATCCAGAATAATGTGTATTTATGTTTTTTCCGCTATCAAAAGAAGTCGCCTGCTAGTATCAAAGTGACTGCCATATACTGTTATCAAAGTCCCCATCTACACATCAAAATTAATATTAACTTAAGGGTTTACCACAGCCGTGTGACATTTCAACCTCTCATAAATTTGAACCATACGTTCGTTTTGTACTTTGTTCATTAAATTTTATGTACTGATCAGGGGAAGTAACTGCTACGAGATTTATAGTGTATAAGCAACAGTTACTTCCTCTGATCAGTAAAGCAGGCGTAAAATATTTACTGCTATGTGACTTTATACATGTATCTAGGGTTAAATAGAAATCTTGAGTAGGATAAGAACACAAGTCATAAATTAAAGCGCGCAACTTTTATTGTCTAAAACATACTTTAGGTCTACATTGCGGCAATGTAAAACGATCGATTTAAAGCGCGGGAACGTATCTATTTATTACGGGTATATACACACCATATGGAGCATATAGTCGTTCTAAACACAATTAAAGCCACGGCTAATGAATTTCAACAGGTTATTATATAATTATTATATAATCTATATAATTAAATGATACTTTATATATCATGGGACAAAATTAGTTTTAGTTTGAAAAGATGCTTCCTCTGTGGAAGTTTCAATGGGCATGTTTGAATCCGATCACATAGATACGGTGGCACAAAGGTGACATGTGTGTGTTTTTATTTATCTCGTGGCCACGAGATACTATGTCGTGGCCACGAGTTACTAAGTCGTGGCCACGAGATAGCTAAGTCGTGGAAACCCGAATACAAATGTCTTGACCACGAGTTACAAGTCGGGGGCCCACGAAATGGGTTAAGTCCCGGTTTGGCCCCACAAATTTAAACTATTTTGTGGCCAAGTTAAAAGTCGGGGCCCAAAAAGATTTGGGCCAAATTTTTCTGGCCACGATTTAATTTTGTCGGGGCCCAAAAACCCCCAACAAACGTTAAAATACTTTTCGGGGCCCACGAGTTTACAAAGTCCGGCCAGGATTTATTTATTTTCGGGGCCCACGAGTTACAAAGTCGGGGCCCCACGAGTAAACCTTAAAGGTTTGTGGCCATAGTTAACCTAAGTCTTTTGGCCCAAAAACGGGAAGATTACAAAGCCCGGGGCCAGGGAAATTTAGCAAAAAGTCTTTGGCCAGGGAGAAACTATGTCGGGGCCCAAAGAGATAGCAAAGGGCCCGGGGCCCACGAATACTATGTCGGGGCCAAAAACTTTTTAACAAAGCCCGGGGCCCAAGGAAGTTGGCTAGTTTTGGGGCCACGAGATAAGTTAACCAATCAGAGAATACACTATATATATATTATGATTTTTTTTAAACTTACAACTTACTTTTACATGCAACATTTATCTTTGAAAATACTGAAGATATTCACTTTGAACTTGTCTTAAAGATCATATTAGAAAGTCACCTTCCAAGGCCCATCAGACATTAATTTTGACTATACCTCTTTGTTGGGCAAGTTTGTGATCGAATTGGTCAGTTTGTACGTACTACGGCCTTTTAACCTTGTTTATACGATAACCTGAGAAGGAATAAGTCCTGGTTTATTTGTAAGGAACATTGCCCATGGACAATAAATAGCCTATAAGGTAAAATCCTTGTCTGATGAATAATTTAGAAAGGATAAGCCATGGTTAATGTAACCCAGAAAGATTATTGCACCTGATCAGTAGATGATATCTAATAATTTCGAGGTCATTGGGTCAAAACTCAGGGTCACAGTGACGCTTAATGTAAAATTATTGACAAGTTAATAAGTTGCATAAATGGCACTTTTACAGGCTAGTGTAGAAGGGGCATCCTTGTACTATAGCACATGTCTAGTTAATTAGGTAAATTCACATAAATGTTGTTATCTGATTGCTTAGCTGTCTCGTGGCCACGACATAGCTATCTCGTGGCCACGACTTAGTAACTCGTGGCCACGACATAGCTATCTCGTGGCCACGACTTGGTACCTCGTGGCCAGGACATAGTATCTCGTGGCCACGACTTAGTAACTCTTGGCCACGACTTAGTAACACGTGGCCACGACATAGTAACTCGTGGCCACGACATAGTATCTCGTACGACTCCTCGTGGCCACGACATAGTATCTCGTGGCCACGACTTAGTAACTCTTGGCCACGACTTAGTAACACGTGGCCACGACATAGTAACTCGTGGCCACGACATAGTATCTCGTGGCCACGACATAGTATCTCGTGGCCACGACTAAGCTATCTCGTGGTCACGACATAGTAACTCGTGGCCACGACTTAGTATCTCGTGGCCACTACTTAGCTATCCCTAGGCCACGACTTAGTAACTCGTTGCCACGACATAGTATCTCGTGGCCACGACTTAGCTATCTCGTGGCCACGACTTAGTAACTCGTGATCACGACATACTTACTCGTTGCCACGAGATAACTAAAATCACACACATCACCTTTGTGCCACCGTACATAGACCCATGATCTAATGGAAATCGTTGTCTTAAACTTTTGTAAAACAATTCCCTCTCCAGAATACATATTAGCTTGCCTTTCTCGGCGAAGTATTTTGCATGGGCCTAAGCTTGTCATGTTATGCTTGTTAAATTATTTTTATCACGCCGGAGAGAGATTCTGTTTCTTCTAACATTCCTTTCTACAAACAGACGTTCAACTAAAATTTAACTAACCGTTAAAATGACACTATTTAAAAACAACAACATTAAATGCAGTTTAATTTCATGACCTTAGTACTTGCTAGCTATAGGAAACGAACTCGACAGTTGTTCAAATCAGGTTTATTTTGTTTAAAACACAACTGAGATAATTTATCGTAATTTACATATATCCATATTTTCTTTCAAAATGTATAGAATAAACACATAATGTACATCATTACAAAGTCTCCTTGGTTGGACTAGTAGCGCAAGAATTGCTCTCCAACTTATGTAATGTTGTTTACTAAAGCTGCTTTCAAGATTCCATTTTATTTAGTTTCGCCCATTGTTTTCTCGTTTAGGGCACACTTATTCTTTTACTTGGGGACCATACGCCACTTTTCATGGAATGGCACATAATTGTCACATTGAGGTTTCCATGATAACCACCGTATGATCAAATCTGCGGTTTGTTTTTTTAATTAAAATTTCCCCTTTTTTGTTTTTAAAATTTTTTAACTCTGTTTTAACCCGGTGTGGGGGGGTTTGGGGACGGTTATTTTGCAGTTTCCAGTGTTGGGTTTTCTTTAAAAGATTTCGGGTTTTTTTTCAAAAAAAAAAAAAAAAAAATTTATATTTTCTATTTTTTCTTGATCATTAAAAAAACAAAAACCTTTGTGCCTGAATATTTTCTCCTTTTTGGGGTTTTTGGGTTTTTCCCTTATCAAAGGGTAAACTCCCTTCAGACTCTTGCCAAAGGCAAACTAAATAAAAAATTTGCACAAATGTTTTTTTTTTAATTTAAAATTAAAATTTAAATACGATAGTTAACTTTATAAAATAAAATTTCAATACAATAATAAATGTAAATGTTAACAATTTGCACAAACAATAATAAAAAGCATCTAAAAACCATTCAAGTTTGGATAATGCACAAATTTCATGACAAAAATTATGTTAATTGCAACATGCAAGTTGATAGATTTTTCATTTTAGACATGTAACATTATACATATACGACATGTGAATATGGCAATTCATATGAAGCATTTGCTTGGTAAATATAAATATCACACAAAAATTGTGAAGCATAGATCAAAATACCACGAACATTAAGAAAAGCTCCGCTAGCTGGGATACACGCTTATATTTTCGTTCCATATTATCGAAACGTTCCTGACTTATTATAATTATATTCTTATATTCTGACAGGTATGTTACATGATCACTTAGCTTCATTTAATTTCTCCTAGTTTTCTGCTCCGAAATGTCACAGTGTAAGAAAAATATTAAACATGAACGGTACTTAACTGGAATACTTCAGTTTTAGATCCAATTATATTTTAGATAAACAATACACGCATATGCTATATATGTTTTTAGAAAATTTTTAATTTTGTACATATCTCATTTCAAGATGGTTCTTGAGTGTTTTGTATCCGGATGTTTTCATCAGGACATTCAAATGATTGAATCGCCAGCTTCTCTTGCTAATTTCCATTGCCAACTGTTTAGTTTTAAGCTTTGAAAATTTCAACAACAAAAAGTCATATCCTTTTTTCGAAATCACTTCATAAAAGCCCATATCAAAGAGAATGTCCTCATATTGTTTAAGTAAATAATGTTCTCGCTGTTTTTTCAAAGTAAAAATCAGAAAATTTCGTATTGAGAACATCAAAAATGTAAATCTTTTAGATAGTTGCAATTTATCCATTCTATTGTTTTGACAATTTCCAAGATCTACTGTTAGCTTTGAAATCTGATATAAAAGGTTCTTTCTTAAATTCATTTCATAAAAATCAGTTTTAAATGAAAATAAAATAAAGCATGTTGATGTATCCTTTATCATTGTATCTATGGCCTGAAACAGTTTAGATATATATAAACATCTTTCTACACTTTTTATATCAGTAAAAAATGCTGATCGAAGTAACTTGATTAACGACCTTGTTGATGTGCATTCCCCTCTATAGTACCCATAAGAAAGAATTTTGTTGATACATTTGTAGTCCTGGAGAAGTTGGGAAATATATATTTTATTTTGACGGGGTCCTGGTTTGAATATGCAGTAAGTGGCGCTTTTAGATATGTGTTTATATACCAAGCTGCTCAGAATTATTGACATGATATATTTCTCAGCATAGATATTTGGTTGTAATATTTCAAGGCTTTCATCAATGATCTCGCCATGTTCTTCAGGAGAGAATAACTTCAATAAATACATTGGTGTTATCCGGTCTGTAGTCATGCAGTTTAGTATATCTCGACCATAGATTTCAACTAAGGTTTTGATAGTGTTTTTCATTACACTGACAGATAAAAGATGCACAACTGATAACCTCTTAGAGTTATTTTTACAGAAATCAGTTATTTGTAAGATATCTTTATATTTCCCGACAGCATCAGATAAGAGCATATCGTTTTTAAGTTCGTCATCATTTTCCTTGCCCAAATTCCAAAAAATGTTCTTACTCCAGCATACTTCGTATGATTTATGTGCATGCAATATCGTTATTAGAATAGCATCTACGATCATCTCATTACTTACATTCCACATGTGATTTAACTGCCGAAGTGCCTTTTCTAGTTCTCCTTTCATAACAGTATAATGAAACGCAAAGCGGCCATTTTCGTCAGCACAGTTGAAAACGTTAGTAGAAGAGTTGTTATATTTTTCCTCTATATGAAGTTGCAATAGCACATTGTCTATCAGTACACATCTACCCTTTAAAGCAATATAGTGTAATGGGGACCGTTTAAATGGTAGTCCGCACTTATTGAATACTGTTGGTCTATACCAAGCAATTTCTTTAAGGGTATCCGCAGATGGCTGAATATTTTCATCCATGCTTTTAATTATATGTGCTCCAAGAACTTCGTCTGTAATTTGTGTATGAAATGTCCAAATAAAATTAAACACATTTCCACTTTTGATCAGAAATAGATACAAAAATGGTTCTATAACTGTTTGAAATTCTTCCCATCTAAGTTCTCGTATTGTAAACATTAAAGATATTTCCCATGCTTTTTTCAAAATGATGCATGGGGGTTCTTTAGAAAGGCAGCTTTTATATTGATTTAAGAATGTCAAATGAGATTGCAGACTAAAATGCGCCATGACCACCACCTCATTTTGAGTCTCCCTAATCGCATTGACTTCAGCAAGTGCATATTGAACTGATGTCTTTGCATTTACGTCTTTTTGATTCAAAAGTTTTCTGAACTCTAACGGGTAGTTGATTGTTATATATTCGATGATAGAAAAATGGCCATTTACCAGTGCATAGTGTAAAATATTTCGTCCAAACACATCGGTTGATTTCATATTGATATTACATAATATAACAAAGTATTGGAAGCATAGCAATGAACTAGTTTGGAAGTTCATAACGTTAACATGATTTAAACTATACCTCTGCGAATGTTGATCGAATAAACACGTATGATGCAAGAATCCTCTTTCATTTATATCCTTTATATCTGGAATTACGATTGCAAATTTATCTGTTAGCCGAGATAAACTTTGAGGTGACGGTGTAATCGCAGCTATATGATATGCAGTAGAACCATTTTTACATTTGATACTGCTAATATCAAGCCTTAAGTATTTTATTGCAAAATCAATAACCTCAATATTAGCATCTCTTGCAGCAATGTGAATTGGATAAATTCCTTCTTCATCAGCAGAATTCCAATCAGTAACAATCTTTTCTTGGATAGCATAATTTATAAAGTTTTCTCGCCTATATTTTAAAGAAAGATGAATAAATGTAGAACCACTTTCACAAAAATGTTCAATTATATTATTTGAAAAGTCGACCATGGCTAAAATAGTACCAATTGATATTTCTTGGAAATGTAATAAACCATCACCCATAACCTGGTTTTTGTCAAAATAATACGAATCGCACCTGTCAGTTAAAATATGATCTGTAAGTAAAGGCAACAAATCAAACTGATTTTTTACTACACTCAGCAATGTTGCCGTATAACCGAATGAATCTGTGCAATCAAGCAATCCTGGAAATAATTTTATTAAACGTTTTGCTACCTCCGTTGAACCTGACCTAATTGCTGCGTGAATTGGTGTTTCCTTTGCTACTATCCACCATTTATCAAGGGGATATACAATATGATAAGAAAGATGCCGTTCTATTCGAAAATCACGTTTTATTTCAACGTTTTCAAGATTTTTTACTTCCATCTCTTTTATTGCATCTCTAGACTGTTCATTAGATATACATCTTAGATTTATTTTTCGTTTAGTCAAAGACATAATTATATTTTCATTTCCGGATCGAGCAGCATAGTAAATGCAATCGGATAACATATCATTGTCCAAATTGGAAAATTTCTGTAAAACATTTAAGTTCCCCATTTCACAAGCAATATCACTCGGACGCTGTCCAAGAGATGTTTTCCAATAGATCATTTCTTTGTTATATTCTAAAAGTTTACTGACTATTTTCTCATGTCCATGTTTAGCAGCTATATGTAAAAGGCCATATCCATAGTAACGAGATTGCTTTATATCCTTTATTTTGTTTACTATATCAAAGGAATCTACAGCATAATTACTTTCCGTAACAAAGCTAACGTTGGCTCCGTTGTTCAGAAGACATAGAAGCTGATCAATATTTCCTTTTAAAGCTGCTATAAAGGATGGGGAGTGTCCCTCTTGTAGTGTGTTTACATCCAGATTGTGCTTTATCAATAAAGCAAGTGCATTTATAACTTCTGTCTTCCTTATCACATTATGTAAAGCTTCGTTTACATTGGTTTGATTAAGGTTGTCCATATCCAATGCAAGAAACTTTTGATTTAACGTATCATTTAAAGCTTCACTCACATGTATTGATAAATCTGCTATGTCAACTTCTCGTTTGTTAGATATTTCATTAAATAAAAAGCACGAAATATATGCATGTCCAGCTTTCAAAGAAACTGAGTACTTTTTATTTCCAGAATTTATCAACCATTGGTACAATGATTAGTGAAATATTGTAACAAAATTATCATTCCGGAGAAAAAATGACAACTTCTCCATGTGGGTACCGAATTGTATTATGTCGGTAATGTTATTTGATTCCAAAATATGAAAAATGTCCTCTTTACTTAAAAGGTTAAAGGATGCCAAAACAATTTCAAATATTGCCTTTGATGTTAAAAACGAACCAGTATCGTCATATTGCCGATCAAAGTTTAATTCATAAATTTCTTCCAATGAGTCAGGTAAGGACGTAATGTTACCATTTTCTAAACGGAATTTAATTGCATGAATTAGAAATAAGAAATTTCCATCACAAAGTTTAATGATTTTTTCTATTTCACTGCCATTGTTTTCCAAGCCATGTGACGAGTACTTGGCTTGTATATACTCTTTGGTATCTCTAATGTTCCTCGTGTCATTTGGTTTTAAATGAACGTGTTCAAAATTTTTTAATAAGTATAATTCGGTAATGTTTCTAGACGTAACAAAAACTTTGAACCATTTTGGTAGTTCCCTTACACGTGCCAATAACAACTCCAAAATTAGGTTTTTGCCGGAGGATTTTTCAAAACATTCGTCAAGTGCCTCTATAATTAATATCCAGGGAATGTTACTATCAAAGGACAGCTGCCTAAATGGGAAAATAATACTTTGGTCAAAACAGGCAATAGGGTCATTCTCACAAAACTCCTGACTGTATATTATATTATCATCAGACATTATGGAAATTTTATTTCCGTATTCCTCATATCGTGTTGCTAAAAAACCAATTAACCGTCGAATAAATATAGCAGGACTTTGTGTACTTTTTACATCAAACCTACAAATATGAAATGCTACAACATGGGATTTAATCTCATAACTCTTCTCCTTTTCTTTTGCACAAAGTATGTGTGAGACAAACGATGATTTACCATAACCCATATCTGCTATCATTGCCACTCCCTTGAAAGTAGAGTTTGATGATATAAGTTTCGATTCCATTGTCTCATATAACCATTCTCTACCAATAATTGTTTCATTATCATAGATATATCCAAGTAGAGGCAAGTCTTGCTTGAAAGGATACGTGTATTCTTCTGATAAACAATCTGAAATAATTACCATTTAACAATTTAGGGAATATTGCATCAATTTTCCAAAAAAGTAAAATATGATGGTTTGTATCGCTCGAGTTGATTTTTAATAGTTGTATGATGACGAACGTGTGTGGCAAATGTTGTTACAGCTTTTCCAAATCAACGAGAGTGATATAAGCTATCATAGCAGACATGTACATTATGTAAATTTTGTTTTAATAAATCCCATCTATACTCAGACAAGTACCTATAAAACTGAAGACTTTTTTCATATGTTAATAAGGCGTACGCATATATAACGTCATTACACAATTGTGACGCAACGTCTCGAGAAACACACAAAGAGTACAATACAGAAAATCCGTATAAAGTACTATAATGTATTTCTTCATTTGAAAATGACAGTTCTATTATAATTTTGCAATAGAGACTTATTAAGAATTATTAAAATTACATCACAATGCATTATTTCATGAGATATTTTAATTAATGAAATATTTTAATAAAAATCATGAAAAGAAATACTATTAATATAAATGTTATGTACATGTACCTTTGTAGCTTGAATTGTCGTTAATCTTTCGTTTGTCCTTAAATCCATAATACATGTAGTTAAAACCAAATTGCAAAACAATTCCAAATATTGCTATGAATATTGCCATGTAAAAAAAGGATAACATGATGCCGTTTCGCTTTTTATTTCCAATATTTTCTTCTTTCGCCATTATCATACGTATCACACGTTCGTGATACTCTTGCAAATGTCTTTCCATTTCATTTTGCCTTTCTTCTATACCCCGGACACTTGTTATGAGATTGTTTTGAGATTCCATTACTCTGTCAGCTATGTTCTGTAAGAGTACAATGTCCTCGGAATGTCTACTCAAAGCTTCAAATATGCTTTTAAGTGAGTTTGACAACAAATCACCTTTTTCGATTCTATCAAGCTCAGACAAACAATTTTGAGCATCGATGTGCAACATAACATCTGGATCTTTAAAAAGGTCTTTCAGTGCATCAAACACTTTCGATTTCTCCAAATCTGTAACCCTTAATCTTGGATTATGTGCGACAAAGGTATTTCTACATTCTCTTAAATTGTTTAAGACATGCTGACGAATCTTGAATGTGTTTTTGCAATTGTCCCAAATATGACACGATGTTGAAATGTCTTGAAAATCTTGATTTGCCCAAGAGTGTGGCAAGAAGTATGGTGCAATACTTTCATATGAAGTTGGCCAGTTCCATGACATCATTTTGTCTAAGTAAATATTTTGCAGATTACTGGCATTGGACAGGTATTTTCGCCATGCACGGCACGTTTCACACCAACTGTTTATAAAAATAGAAATGACTTAGTTTATAGAGAGGTGTGAGGGCAATAGAGCAATTTTCTTACGTTATTAAAAGCTTTTCTACTAATATATGAAAGGGTTAATATGTACCACAAAGAATTGTAATGTAATGCAAAAATAAAAACAGATTACATGTTGTCACAATATGAAACCCTAGAAAAAGTAACCAAAGAACGAGCATCTGAATATAATATTTCTATCGCTATCCCTTTCTCTGGCGTCACAATAAGAAAACCCCAAAAGAAATGGGTCAATCAATCGGCATGCTGTGGAGTTGGGGTAACTACTACCTGCAATCCAGTTAAGCACAATGCATGCATATAAATACGTTTAACTCTGACACAGTCCCCAAACTATGATACAAGAAAAACTTATTGGCCTACAATGCCGTTAAACTCAACTAAATAGGTCTTCAATTCAAAAAGAAGATCGTTTGTATTGCATATATCATAATGTATTTTAGACTTTAAATTCTGGAATCGGCATCTGTTTCAATTTATCCGATCACCATGACGATAAAGTTTGGTTACATGTAGAAGATTGTGCTGCAGCTTTAGAATCTGTTCTTAGATAACAGTAACAATCACTTGTTTACTGTCCCGCGGATATTGAAAAATATGATAAAAATCTGGAAAAAAGTGTGATCCCGCGGAAGCATTAATCACATCAAAATAAAATGAAAATTGCAAATTCGGTTTGATTAAGTCTGTACATGAGGGATAATGAAAGAGTGCAACATCGCTCAAGCCCCTAGCACCGGCTTGGGCAGTACTCAATTATACACTTAAAAGTGCTGGAATCAATGATCCCAAAGATCATGAACGGGTCAAATTACATACATATGATACTAAATATTTACATCCAATCGCTGCACTAGAAGTGTTACACGTATAACCGTTCTATATATTCCCGAATTGTGCAATAAATCCTGAACTGGACAGTTGAATGTGTAATAAAATACTTTCCGTATGCCGTTAAGGATAAGCCATTATACTGACTGGAATGACTTTTCTTTACTAAATTAACTTACAGATGCATTGTTCGTTTCCTCAAATAGGCATATTTCAATTGTACCGGACTCTTACCAAATAAAAGTAGGTTCAAAAACCGTTGAAGGATACGTAAATTAACATTATTTCGTACAAGTACATATATAAAGATGACGAAATAGATTAATGGTTTAACTCGACAAGTTTGAACTGTTTGAGTCGAAATTTATATCAAGTTTCCGACTTAAGCATTAAAGCTGCATGCTTCCAGATGAACAAAAATATTGCAAGAAATACAATCTTTAGAAAAATGTATTAAGATCTTTAGAAAAGTAGAAAGGTTCAATATGTAATTAATTATTTACATTTTATGAACCATTAATGACTGATTTTGCTGCTACTGCGTTATTAACGCAGTAAGAGGTATTTATGTATATTTTGTTTTCTTTAAGGTAATTTACGTCGATTGTAAGTGCCGTTTGCAATGTGTAAATTACTGTACTTTCTTTGTTCCCTTCACAGTATTTTACTTTTAAATACATTTTTAAAAATAAAATTTTCATGAATATTAGCATGAATCTGCTGCTTTAAGAATAAACATGACAGAACAGATGCAATGCAAATATGCTCATGTACTTTCCCTTTTATACCAACCGGCTAAGTATCTAACTCACAACTACTTCATATGAGCCGTTGCCGTACGAAGATTGCGCATGCGCGTGAACATATTACATCCGGTTGAATTTTCATAGTCGTAAAAAGGTCTATCTAATAAAATGAAATATTGAACCCGATTCAAACGTTCTCATGCCGGACTCGATCCCTTGTTTGTTAATATTAACAAAGTCCCGGATAGGAAAGTCTATTCCGACTAAATATCAAGACAGTGTGATCGTTTTAAATAAACTATATATAGATCTACAAATGTATATTTACCTCGATATTTCTCGTGGATAAACCTCGCTGCATCTCTGGGTACAAGCTTGTTTACCAGCTAGCTTACTGTACACCGTTTTATGTATTGATTTAAGACCATTCCTCGTGTAAACTTCAAGTTTATCTCCAGCATATTTAAGTCCGTGATAACAACAGACATAGTTCCTGTATTCAGGGTGTCGGCACAACTCATCTAACCTATCCATATTGAGCGTAATAGAATTATTCTTTTGGTATAAGAGTCAGGAACTAAAACAACAATAATTTACAAAATTAAAAAGGTATCAAACAATCCATTTAGAAGTTAAGACCGTTGAATAAAAACAACTCCAAAGAAATAACTTAGTCACAAGCTACGAGATTATTATATTGACAAGTTAAATTTTAAAATGAAAATCAATAACATTCTATTGATAGATTTATACGTAAAATTGGTATTCGGTCTTGATTTTTCTGACAGAAGACAAGGTATCAAATAACATTGCGTTATACGAATTGAATATTGATTAAGTCATGCATAGAGCATTTATCTGCTTAAGTTATTTTATATTCAATGTTTTACTTATACCAACAGGAAAATCGAATGTCACGTCATGCAAATGGGCAGATACCTTTCCCTGATTATTATATTGTTTTCATTTGCAGATCATTTTTGTGCTTTGAATAATAATTTAGGTAATAACTATTTGTTTGGATTTTGGAATGCATGACTCTATACGCATTTCTTGTATAGGTTTATTGGTTTTGATTTCGGAAGCATTACAAATATTCATATTGCTAGTTAGGCTACCTGCATTGTCTGTTGGATTGGTAAATGTTTTATCATGTTCCATCAAGATTATTAGAGTTCTTGTGCTTTACAAAAGAATAAAACATTTTACTTTATTTATTTTCAGAGATTTCAGAAAATATGACAGATTCAAGATAGATCCAAAATGATTTTCTAATTTCCTTTTGTACTCATATAATGGCTTCCAGAGCGATAGTTTTGTGATTTTTGCTAGTATTTGGTTGCCCTTTTGGTGACTTACTTATATTTTACAATTTATCTCTTTTATGAATCATTTATGTACTTTCCTTTCTGAATAATGCTTGATACTCTAGACACAGATATACATACATCTTATTTAGTTCCATGCTCTAAAGTGGGTAAACATTCACTATCATCCTTTAAGTGTCTTCTGAATAGTGACCATTCAAAATATCCGAAATATTTTTAAACAGGTATCTGATAATGACAAATATACCATACTCGTCTAAGAACTGAGTGTAGTCCTCTCAACTATCATTTATTCAGAAAATATATAACAAACTCACCACTGTGTCAATAACAACTACCACTTTTTCTTTGAATGTCAACAATACAATAATATCCGAAATAGCCTGTTACTCTCCCTTTACTACTAAGAGGTGACAACAACTTAAGTGACGTCATGAACACCAGTATATTCCAGGCATTTCAAATATAGGTATCCGAGATAGCAAACGTTTTCCATAGACCTTTGCAAACTCTGCTCACTCCTTTGACATACCGAATAGATTCTATATTATCCTGCTACTGTCAATATCATCAGCAGGATAAAGCCTTGCCGGATAAACTTATCTATCTCCAGTCATTACGTCACATGATGACGTCACGTGTTTAGCAGCAAAACAAAACTGCATAAAGATGCTATTTTATCGGGGAAAAAGAAGAATGAAACCATTTAATTATTCTAAAAACATGATAAAAAGCAGGATAAATCAAATACATGGTTGATGTCGGGATAGAGAAGGTTTATCCTGTTCGCTGCGAAAGTGAATCTTGGCTCGCTAAAGCTCGCCAAGATACACTTTCTCGCTCACCGGATAAACCTTCTCCATCTCGACATCATCAACCATGTATTTTCTATATTTACTAAATTTATTGAGCTTTTTCGCATAACATTATTTTCTAACTCATTCAATGAATTCAATATAGAACATACACTCATTCATTATTCTCTGTTATGTATTTTTCTTTCAATTGAGCGACCATATTAAAGAAACACAGGGTCATCTCATTTGAATGTAAGCTGGCCGCAATCACTTTTTGTTTTGTTTATGTTTGACGCGGTTCAAATATTAAGATTACCTTGAATTTGTTAGAAATGATTTTACTAGACTTTTTCTTTTGAAAAGAAAATATGTCTGGTCGTCCGTACCATTTTAACATTTCTGGTCTGCTGAATGTGTTTCTTCATTCTGATAAAGGGATACGACCATAATTGCGAAAATTAAATTGAGGACAACAATATACAATGTTTCCTGAAAGTTGAGGTTTTTCTTTCCATTCTGCATTTTATACAAACATGTTTTCAAACTGTACATGTGTGTTTTAATTGGTAGATACAGGTTAGTTTATTAACAACGAATATCTATTACGCCACCAGCTAGAAATATATTTATACCCAATTGTGCAGCATTGTTATTTATTTCTGAACTGACAAACATTTTTCAGATACCTATTATTTCCTACATACAATGAATTCATTATTAGCTGACCGGACAAATGGAAATCCACCAAGTAGAAAAATGCGCCGTACGTTATTACTGATATTCTGTGCGCCATACGTTATCATTTCCGGAAAATGCCCCGATATTAATATTACAGTGGTTATTCTAGCCAGAATGGGCATAAATGCTTAGATGACGACATATTACAACTTTTTAAAGTCAGTGATTTCAATTTAAATACATATATGTAAAAGAAACAGTGCATTTTAGAGAAGAAGCCGTACGTTACCACAATCAAACCGGTGGAAAATGCTCTCGCTTCGGATCTGGTGACGCCCATTTCAGATGAAGTACGGGACAAGAAATCATGAAATAAAATCCTGTGTGCTCGGAAAATTGTGGAGAAGGTTATTATATGTTCTTTTACACTATAGAACCACAAATTTCAGAAAAAAAAAGGGAAATATCTACTTTTCGACCGCATCCGCCATCTTGTTTGTTTGGGTAACGAACGGCGTGATTCTCCCCCGTGACCCAGCATATTGGGATTTCAACCCAACATATTGTATCTCAGACACAACAGAACGAAATTTAACCAGGTTTATCATTCCTTCTTAACACAAGGCAGTCCAAGTGTTCCATGGTAATCCTAAAGAACATACTCGATCAGTCTGCAATTCTTTCCTCTCATCGCTAGGGGGGTCCCTTTCGACCAAGAACACTGGACCGTTTAACATGGTAATGTTAAAGTCCCTATATCTCACAAATTGTATCGTCTTATATTATACACCTGATGCTCAAATGAAGATTTATATTTGTCTTGTATCATAGTTTGGGAACCATTCTGTTGAAAATATGTCAGAGTTAAATCGTATACATATACATGCACAGTGCGTTAACTTAAGTGCAGGTATTAGTTACCCGCACTCCAGAGAATGTCCATTGATTGGCTCATTTTTGCTAGGGTTTACTTATTGTGACGGCAGAGAAGCGATATAAATATCATATTCAGATGCTCATCCATTGATTACTTTTCTCTTGGGTTTCATATTGTGACAACAGGGAACGTGTTTTTATGTTTGACTATGGTACAAAAGAGAAAGAACTTCAAAACACTCGGCAATCTGATTTATACTCGGTGGGGGGGGGGGGCTTCTTTTTATTTCATAAATGTAACACATTTTTGAATGTTTAAATCTGATGTTGGAAGGAAACTGATATACATGTATATAATTTCGGTTATTTAAATTGGTCTACAATGAGTACATTTTCAAATAACGATGAAAAGCAATAGAATTATATCATTTGGCTATTTTTATAAATAATTACTTGAAAAAAAAAATGATTGAATAAATTTCTAAGTGATTAAAACAATATTATGCTCAAATTAAATATTTGTATCTATACAGTTTCTTTTTAAATGAAAACTAAACATCTTTTTAGTACACGTTATATTTTACGCACTACACACTGTAGGCGCAATATGAATACATAGTGTCATTAAACAACTGGTTGTTTTGTTGTTGTTGTTGTTGTTGTTGTTGTTGTTTTAAGATCAGTAATATGACATGCAGTTATCTCAACATAGTTTGTGTATTCTCTTATTCAAATTAGACATATCCTGTAAGAATGTCCTAGATTTTTTATAAATTTCTGCAGAAAAAGTATTTACATAAAGATGAGCATACATAATGTAGTATATATTATTTGTAAGTAACTATGAACATTTATATGATAAGAAATAATATTGTGTTCTAGAATATTTTATTTTATTATATGATCTAAATATAGCTGCAATCTCATTGGTCCAAACAGTAGTCAACAGAACTTTTTATTGAATCATATTTACTGGGTGTAGTATCATATTCACTGGCTGGATTGGATTTTCCAAGTCTAAAAATAGATTGAGATTCATATTCAATGATCATACACCGTAGACTGTTAATTACGCGTGTTAATTAACAAAATAATTGTTGCTTTTTGTTCTTTGTGGCATATTTATCGATTAAAATATCAATACTTTACTATTATACTTAAAGGCTACACCGCAATGATGAGTATAAACTGAAAATTATTTTTGTATGCGCAGCGTTCGCGTAGTCGTTGCACGCCTAACACGTGCGTCTTTTTTCCCGCGCTTTAACGAGGCAAAATTTGTACATGTATATAAGGTTATACTTTTGTGATTATTTTTATTTCTTAGCCTATTCATATAATAAAACAATTATTGACTAGTGAACCATTGAATATGATGTGATATTCACCGGCAGAAAGTCATATTGACTTCGGCTATCGCCTCGGTCAATATGTCATCTGCCGGTGAATATCACATCATATTCAATGGCTCACTAGTCAATAATTGTATAATATGCAGTATTTCCATGAATATATGTAATTAAATTGGATCATGTATTTCACACCAACAACGTCTGCATTTAATTCATTTGTGGTTTGTTGACATGTCTGATGGAAAATGTCATCAAGATTATTATTCATTGTATTATCCATTGTATTATTCATTTTAGTATTCATCTTATTATTCATTGTATTAGTCATTGTATTAAACATTGTATACTTCATTGTATTATTCATTGTGTTATTCATTGTATTATTACTTGTACTATTCATTGTGTTCGTATTCATTGTTTTATTCATTGTTTCATTTATGTTGTAAATCATTATGTTATTCAATGTATTATTCATTGTATTATTCTTTGTGGTATCATTGTATTAGTAATTGTGGTATTTATTGTATTATTCCTTGTGTTTTTCATTGTCTTGATCATTGTGTACTTCATGGTATTATTCATTATTTAATTCATTGTGATATTCATTGTTGTATCCATTGTATTATTCCTTAAATTATTCATTGTGTTATTAATTGTTTTACTCATTGTATTACAGATTTTCCAAATTATAGCATACAGGATCTTTCAAAAGCATCCGAAATACCACAAATAAAGAATGTTTTAGTAATGTGACATATTTAATCACTTAACTAAAATAGAAATAAATGGATTCAAATGCAGTAAACTAAATAGTAAACTAAAAAAGCAGGCCTTAATCGACTAATTGTATACATTATAATAATTCAATTAATTGGATGCACCAAAGAGCTCGAGTGTTATGAAGTGTTGTGCTGCGGCTAAATGGTCATCTGATTTGACTTTACTTGGCAAGGGAGGTTATTTCTGAAAAAAATCGGGCACTATGTACTAGTATAGAGTTTAACTTGAAAAAGGAGTAACATTTTCTTCTTCACGAATCATTCTTAAATTATTCCCAAGTTCTTATAGTTTTAAAAGAGTACTCACTCGCCATATAGCTGTGTTTTCTTTTGCATATATTTACCATGTTTCAGGCACTAATTGGATGTATTAGATTTTAATGATGATTCTGAACAAATCAGCGGAGAGAATACAATCAAATAAAGTATTAACAATGCTGGAATGTGTATCCGCCGAGGAAGCCGACAAGCAACCGTCACCTAGAGTAGTTAACTGTCATTACCCACCAAGGTATGATAAATGTAAATTATTTGTTGTAAAGAGTTTTGCCATGTTATATAACCAACTTTACCAACTTTATTATATGATCTAAATATAGCTGCAATCTCATTGGTCCAAACAGTAGTCAACAGAACTTTTTATAAAATCATATTTACTGGGTGTTGTATCATATTCACTGGCTGAATTGGATTTTCCCAGTCTAAAAATAGATTGAGACTCATATTCAATGATCATACACCGTAGACTGTTAATTACGCGCGTTTATTAAAAAATAATTGTTGCTTTTTTTCTTTATGGCATATTTCTCGAATAAAATATCAATACTTTACTATTATACTTAAGGGTTACACCGCAATAATGAGTATAAACTTGAATTATTTTTGTATGCGCAGCGTTCGCGTAGTCGTTGCACGCCTAACACGTGCGTCTTTCTTCCCGCGCTTCAACGAGGCAAAATTTGTACATGTATAATTATAAGGTTGCAATTTTGTGATTTTTTTTAATTTCTTAGCCTATTCATATAATAAAACAATTATTGACTAGTGAGCCATTGAATAAGATGTGATATTCACCGGCAGAAAGTCATATTGACCTCGGCTATCGCCTCGGTCAATATGTCATCTGCCGGTGAATATCCATCATATTCAATGGCTCACTAGTCAATAATTGTATAATATAACCCCGGGGTTATTTTGCATACAACTGTATATAAAGATTACAAATTTATACATTGTAACAACTTTGTAGATGTTATATTTGTATAAAGCTTGGAATATATAATGTTAAACCCGTCTGTGCTTTGTCATATGACTTGTCGATATTGTATGTGTACTAAAATAGAGAGAAAAAAATGTCATATATCTCCTGGTCTGTATATGTCTTCTTCAATATAAGACTTGTGCTAAAAGAATGTTTAGATAAGCCTGTGTTGATAAAATTGTGTATGATTTATCCACATTTTTATCATTAATCTTATATATATATTAAGTTATGATATATTTAAAGGCCACATATGCCTCAGATATGCTATCGTTTAATTTCTATAAAACATTTTTTTGTTATCTTGATACACGTTTCCAAAAAAAATAGAATAGAGAAAAAACCGAATCCCTAAAGAAAGCCAAACATGGCAAAATGGAAAATATTGCAGTCTCGGTTTGATTGAGCCTGTTCATGGACGGCACTGGAAAGTGCAAGTTACCTTACTCATTTGCCGTATAGATGAAAACATTATTTTCAGTTGTTGAACATGTATGATGCTCTAAATCCTCTGTTTAAACATTTCAAACACATGTTTGACAGTTTTAAAAAATAAGAAATGGATGTCTGAGGCATAAACGGCCTTTAAGATATGATTAGAAAGATTTAAAAGGGAGGGTGAAATTGGCGGAAAGCAGCGCCTTACTAAATCCAACCAGACAGGACCATTGTAACGCTACCCAGTAGGGCACCTAATAAAACCATTATTATAGCTTGTGAGGTGATAATAAGGACTAGTGACTTTCATATTCAGTTGAAGTTTATCTTCTGCAGTCGTCATAAATTGGGTTGAGTTTGGGGGCACAAGGTCAAATCATCGGTGTTTTAAACAGCAATTACAGCTTTTTTTAATCAAACTTAATGTCAATTATAGCTTCCTTTGATCGTTCTGTAACATAAGACGGAGTTTGGATTCACTTGCTTCAATTATGATAATTTGGTGAATGGCTTGCCAGTTTACTTTTTTCTGACATGCACAAACGAACGTCACAATGTCAAGTTAACTGTGTTAAGTGTGTAACATTTTTTCTTAACTGAGTGAATTGGTAAACATTATTTGTAAATGTGTTACTGCCGGGAGTTACGAAAGACCGGTAGATACATTTCAACTTCATGAATTGCTGATTTCATCTTCGTGAATACACGTTTTCAACATACGAATTTACAAATTCACAATTTCAGTTTCATGAATTCACGAAATCGTGAGCTCATGAATTTGAAATGTCCCCACCGGTCTTTTGTTGAGAGCATTATGTGTGTTTACTTTACTTCCTGTTGTCTTTTTTCTCAAGGTACCTTCCTCTGGAGGATATGAAGGCCCAGCAAATTAAAACAGTATTATGTCTACGAAATCCAAAAGACACGGCCGTGTCATATTATAATCATATGAAGGGTATAAAAATGTACGAATACGAAGGTAAATGGGAGAATTGGATATCAGGGTTTGCTGAAGGGAAATGTAAGTGACGTCAAATATTGTATATTGTAAAATTTTAGGGAGGTTTACTGGCATAATCGGACTCTTGTGCAATATGACCCAAAATATGAAGATAGAATAATCGGGCTTACAGCCGTTTTCATGTTAAATTGTGGAATTTTGAATCAGTCGGTGCTAGGGGTTGCGTGGACGGTACCTTGCACATTCCATGAACAGTCTCAATCACACCGAACCTGCAACAGCTTTAAATTTTGTCGTTATGTGTGTTCTTTATCGATTTTTTCCCTTTTTAACATGTAGCATTTAAAATCGATTTTCAATTTTATTTTAAGTATATCATCTTATCATTTTGGTTTATGCAAACTCTCCAAATTTTAGGCGTACGTGCGATCATGCTCGGTCGGTACTAGTATTAGGTTTTTTTTTTACTTCCGCACAAACTTTGGCATAATTTTGCAGTTTAACGGATTTGAAAAAATTAATTGATAACGGACTTTTATTCATCGAGTTGACAAAATTTGATGTTTTCATAAATCTGTCACCGCGGTTACTGTTACGTATCTACTAGCTCCATTCAATGGCAGTGGTGTTCTCCTTATTTTTCTTCTTTCCATAACATGTTGAAATGAATTTGCATGTTACAGATGAATACGGGAAGTACAGCCAGTATTTGTTGGAATGGCAGCGTGAGGTTGAAAAACAAGAATATCCTCTACATGTCATGTTTTATGAAGATTTGAAAATGGTAAAATAAATTCTTAAAGCAGAATGCCTCCATTTTCATGCTAATTTTATTTTCATAAAACTATCTAAAATGTACTAAAAAGAGTGAACATAGAGAGTACGTAATTACATTGCAAACGACTCTTAAAATTTACAAGATTTATCCTAGAAAAAGGTCAGATTATGCAAAAATATACCATACTGCATTAGTCACGCAGTAAAAAATATGACGATAAATACTGCCAAATCAGTCATTTATTACATAATTATGTAAAGTATTAATTTTCTTGAATTGTGAAATTTATTACTGTACATAAAGATCCTGTGACTTAATTTTGTCATGGTTTCATGTCATAAATATAATCACCGTGTGTATCCAGTAACGCAGGAATGTGCAAATAGCAAAAGTAACGCAAGATTGTGCAGTTTATTGGATAAAACGAGGACCGCGATAAGTAAATGGACAAACATTTTTCATTGTACACAAAATTGGAAGAAATGAATTAGCGTATTCGGTTGCTGCGACATTATACTTTAAACCTCATTAAAATATTTTCATAAATATGTTTATTTTTCAACATCATTCGTGACACTGACTAGCGTACTGATGGCAATTTTTAGTTTTGTTCATATCTTTAAATACAATAACATACATATTACTTTATGATGTTTTATATTTGGTGTAAGTGAGACATTTTCCCATCTACTCTTGTCATATTGCACTAAATTTAACAGATAAAACGTAATTTAGACCGTTTTTACGACGTAACGCCGAATTCGTGCATATAGCATTGAAGCAACGGCGGTTATCTCATTAAAAGTAGCTACAGTCTATATAAATTGTATTGTACCAGCTTCCTTCTATTGCTATACGACACTTGTAGTTAAGAAAAATGACTTATGTATATAGAATATGAAAAAATAATGTTTTAAATGTGTTAAATGAGCATATTTATTTGACAAAACACAAAAGTCACCTTCAAAACGGTACTCAGATTTTCTTTACCACGAATGATCTAAAGAAGTAAACATATTCCTGAAGAAAATTGTGATGGCGGTTAAAGAACAATGTCGTAGCAGCCGTATGTGCTAATTCTTTTCTTTGAATTTGATTAAGAATGAGATATTTTTTGTTCGTTTACTTACTGTGTTATTCGTTCATTACTTTTACATTTTTTGCACATTCCTGCGTTACTTGATATGCACGGTGATAATGCTCAAACTATTGCAGTTCCAAAAAGCATTATTTGTAAAGATATCACCTAATTTACATTTCATGTTAACAAAGGGAGATAATTAGAAATGTATTTTCTATAAAGTCTGAGTCAGTTTTTTCAATAAGAAATGAATGCATATATTTAATGATTACATATGTTGACAAATATTTGCAGTACATATTTTACATATTCTTCGATGTTTGAAAATTGTTTAGAGGAGCATAATTATATACATATATAAAATTTCACTTAAGTGTGGTTACAACCTTAATTACAACATACAAGATCTTTAAAAGTACCCAAAACTATCAACACAATCAGGTGAATAAAATATAAAATACATCTAGTTGTGAATAATTTATCTATAATAAGATATTGCATTCAGAATTCCTTCCTCTTGTTGTCCTCAGTCACCACTTCTGATTTCCACTTTCCAGTGTCTGATATTTTATGGGGTCGCACTGGCCTTGTGCTAAAAATACTAATTTAAAGTCACAGGCCTCATAGACGACTCGCAGTTCGGCTCCCCTCGATGACATTTTTTTATTAGTGCCCCTTCCAGGCAGCTATTTAGCTAGCTAACGGAAGGACAGTGGTAACTCTCAGGTGCCGGCTCGAGCCTAAAGTAATAAACAAAGAGCCAAGTGAAGCTAGAAGGTCGTCATAATACCTTTACAATGGCGATGTAGCATTTTTCCCTTAATTGTATTTGAATTTTAATGATAAATAAGAAGCAGTAAGCTAGTATGAAAAAGGACAAACTTGACTTTCCAGGGATTGCATGTCTTGAGTAAATAAAAGGTTTTCTTATAGTTTTCTCCATATTTATATATAAATGGGCATGTTTGCTTATCTTTTAATTATCAGAATTGGTAAGAAGAACTAGACAAAATGTTGAAGTTTCTTGATCTACAGTTAGAGGACAAGCTGAAATGTGACATCATTGATATGTGCGGTTTTGAGAAAATGCAAAATGATAAAGGAATTTAGGTGGTTTACAAGTTGACATGTTGTGGTCCCGTTTTGACAGGTGGTACTATTTTCTTTCAGGTCAAGTTGGTGACTGGAAGAATTGGTTTACTGTTGCACAGAATGAAATGTTTGATGATATCTGGAAGAAAGACACTAAAGATTTAACAATGTTTAAATTCAAATATACTAATGGCAGTGCTTGATATTTCATGTTACAAATAACTAGTGAATTATATCTTCAGGTGAAGTTTTCAGACAATATGTTTATCAATATTATTTACAGTACAGTCTGAAAACAATCTTTTAAATAAACGGCAAAAACACGGGTTTTTATGGAATTCCATCAATATGGACGTTGTCTTAATTAAACAAATTTATTAATTAAAATGTTATGCGTTGAACTATCATACTGTTGAGAAAAGTGGTTGAGTTAAATTTGAGAAGTACTTCTTACGGTTGATTTTTTTATAAGTGCTCTATATAGTGATGCGTAAAGAAAAGAAAGCTGGCCTTTACTGTAATTATTATGTAATGTTATAAATTATGTTAAAAAGTACCCGGTATTTAGGGATATTGAAAATAAGCTAATTTCGCGAAAATATAGTCAAGGCTATTAAAAAAGAGTTTATTTTTAAATTATTAATATTAAAAACGTATCGTATTTATAATTAAATGATTTGAATGACTAAAAGAATAAAAAAAAGAAAACGAATATTCTGTAATGAAATACTAAACGTTTGTATGGTAAGTAGTCCCCAAATAGTATATAAAGAACGCATGCATCACAGCTCATATTAAAATGTTATTTATTTTGTCTTAGTTACAAAGGTTTAGGAAAAAAGTATTGTAAGAGTTAAGTTTTTTTTTATAAGAAAAAAATATTTGTACTGAAAAAGTCTAAAAACAAGAGCCATGTCAACATGGCCATCCTCCGCCGAATGTGTTTGCTCATTGGAAGAATGTATATGTAGTAGAGCAGAATAATTCCATTTTAAGAGGTCTTTTGGTAATGAAAACTGATGGCTATAGTGACTACAGATTTGAAACCTATGTGAATACTGATGGCTGAAAATAACAAAGGGCAATAACTGAAAAATAATGCAGGGTAGGTTATTATTCTTGTGTGCTGCATCCCTCCTCAGTAAAATCTATCTACCTATGAAGTTTCAAGTTGATACCTCAAATACTTTTTGAGAAAAAAATTGAATTGAAAAATTAAGTATGAAAAAAAACAAAGGGCAATAACTCAAAAATTATAAAAGGTAGAGTTATCATTCTTGTGCAGTGCACAACTCCTGAGTAAGATCTATGCACCTATGAAGTTTCATTTTGATATCTCAAAGGCTTTTTGAGTTATGCTCTGGACAAAAATCTATTTTGAAAAATAACAAAGGGCAATAACTCAAAAATTATGAAGGGTAGAGTTATCATTCTTAAGCACTGCACTCCTCCTCAATGAGATCCATCTACCTTTGAAGTTTCAAGTTGATACCTCAAATACTTTTTGAGATAAGCTCTGGACAAAATAGCATGAAAAAACAAAGGGCAATAACTCAAAAATTGTAAAGGGAAGAGTTATCATTCTTGCGCACAACATTCCTCCTCAATAAGATCTATCCACCTATGACATTTCATGTTGATATCTCAAACACTTTTTGAGTTATGCTCCACTCAGGTGAAAAATTAGGTATGAAAAATAACAAAGGGCAATAACTCAAAAATTATGAAAGGTAGAGTTATCATTCTTGTGCACTGCACACCTCCTGAGTGAGATCCATGCACCTATGAAGTTTCATGTTAATATCTCATAGGCTTTTGGAGTTATGCTCTGGACAAAAATCTATTTTGAAAAATAACAAAGGGCAATAACTCAAAAATCATGCAAGGTAGAGTTATTATTCTTGTGCACTGCACTCCTCCTCAATGAGGTCTATCCACCTATAAAGTTTCAAGTTGATAACTCAAATACTTTTAGAGATATGCTCCGGACAAAAATGTCGGACGGAAGGACGTACGGACGGAAGGTCGGACGGACGGACGGAGACTATTTTTATATCCTCCGCCGAAAATTTTCGGCTGGGGATAATAAAAAAAGAACTAGTTCGAAAATAACCAGCGACACCGGCTACAAAAATTAAATAAGAATAGTAATATGATCTATACGAAAATATAAGGAAGCCTGGGAGTACCATTTATTAATTAAAACTTAGTAATTATTAAATAGAGGATATTTGTTTGTTTGTGTGTAAGATGAAATTTTATTTCATCGAGTGGGCTTTAAAAACAGTATACTCACGAGTGGCGTAGCCTCGAGTGAGAATACTGTTTTTAAAGTTCACGAGATGAAATAAAATTACATCTTACACAACAAACAAACAAATTTTCTTTTTATTTTATGCTAAAAAACAAGATTAAACGAAATTTCCATAATATTAACATAAATATTAAAATCTGTTTCCCCATTGAGAGCCCCATTTCGTGCAAATTTCTCATTAAAAACAAGAAGTCTTGAGCTGAAAAATAAGTCCGACAATCAACGTTAAATGACAGTGATATTATTTATTTTGTTTAAAAAATATGAATAATCGCTTGTTTTAATTATAAAAACAAACAATTCGTGTAGGTGAAAATTTCAACCATCCATCCATATTTCTGTTACTTACTGCGAATTTATATTAGACCTGGCTTTGTTAAATGTAAGCGGCAGCCATTTTTTAAAGTTGTGTATTTCACGGGAGGAAAATAATTGTGTTTGATTCAGAGGGATATCATTTGGATTTGTTAGTCATACACCTTTTTAAAAGAAAGAAAACATATTTGAGGATTGAAACAGACAAAAAATAAGTGTTGACAGATGTGAAAACATGAAAAAAACAGCTATGAAAATGGAAGATTTGGTACTTGCTCGGAACGCTGGGTGGTTTACTTGTTCTACGAGCTATAGCTGTCATTGCTTTTCAATTTTTCATAAAGCATACGGCAGTTATTACTCGTAGGATACTTAAATATGCCCAAATGTCATCAAGAGCAGTTTGCATGAGGAAGGAATGTATTTTTCAGACTGTAAAAATTAAACAAAAAAATTATAGACGAAATTTGGTGATTGGAATTTGAATGAATAGAAGTAAGTTTTCTTCTTTTTATTACTTTTGACGATTAAAGTATTTATCAATTTCAGCTTTGCGTTTTCTTTAAACAGCCGGACATTGTCAGAATTGTTAGCAAAAATAAAATTAAGGTACCACATGGGAAAAATCTTTAAAAAGTAGTTTCGTCATTGAAAAGTGTGAAATTATATTTTGATAATTTTCACTGTGAAATTATCAAATATAATTTTCACGGATAAATCAGTAATCCACTGAAAAGCATAAAATAAATTATAAAAATACGTTATAACATATTTATAAATATTTATTACTAAGCATTTAGAATTTAGGAACCTAAATGTGGGAAGAATATGGACATAATAGAAGCAGACAACATAAGTTATTATAAACAGATTAGCAGTATAAGTAAAGAGGACAAGATAAATGAATTTCTTTTGTATGGTGATACTCCTAATAGTTATTGAGCATCGGCTTTTATTATAATTTGAACAGGACAATGGAACTTGCAATTTTGTACTACTACGTCATGTAAAATGGTGCTGTGCGACCTCAGTTTGCAATTATTATAACGGCATGTAACCTGTAAAGATAAAATGTTGCTGCCCTTTATCCGGCATTTACTTGCAATTATGACAATACGTTTTTACCATACTTATGGACAGATTGAGTTTAATTTTAAGATTATAGCTTGTTACCATGGCAAACAAAAGAAAAATCTTTGAAACCACATGGTCTCAAGAAACCACAAGCCTAGATATTCTGTATTTAGCATCGTCTTATGGTCCTTTATAAAGATTGTCCAAATTGTGTCCCTAGGGTTTAATTGGCTCAACCCAGAGTTTTCTTATTCTAAGTATATACATGTATGGACTGTTTATGGAAAACTTCTTCTCCGAAGTAAAAAGGCAAAGAGCTTTGATATTTTGCATTAAGGTTGTGTATGAATTTTTTTCAAATTATGTGCCTGGGATCAAAATTGACCCCCACCCAATGGTTTCATATTTTATATAGACTTATTTAAGGAAAAGTTTCTCTGAAAAGTTTCTCTCTGAAACCAAAAGGGCTAGAGCTTTGATATTTGGTATGATCATCTTATGATCAATGAAAATTGTTTAAAATACACTACATGTTTATTTAGGTGAGCGTATCAGGGCCATTATGGTCCTCCTGTTCTAGTGATTTAGTGATTAAAATTTTGAATTTTATTTTGAAGTATTTCTAATTTATTTAAAAATCTTGCTTTGTTTCTGTTATAGCTAAGATAATGATCTAGTAAGGAACCTTTTGTCACATCTTTTTGTTATACAATGTAGAAACAAATCACCAACTTTAAAGCAGTGTGAAAAGTTAAGACCATGTTAATGGTGAAATCATTGTAATATTTATCAACATTTTATAATTTGTGAAAATACAGACTTTACAAAATAGTCCCAGAAAGTATTTGTGCGAAAAAGAGTTTATTTATGATCTTTATTTTCATGATTTCAGGCAGGGGCTGTGGGTACAAACACAGGTGCTAGTCCAGTCTTGGTGCCCATATAAAAAAAATGTTTTTAAAAAAAAAATGAAAAAAAAACATTTTTGAAAAAAAAAACATCAAAATAACTATTTTGGGTTGAGTTTAAGAAAAAAAAAATTTGAAATTTTTTTTTCCTATATACCATTACTACAAAAAGGTCACCTAGTCGCCGTAACGCTACGGAGCTTTACTAGGACACACTGTGGAACAACCACAATGTCGAGTTCTGTAACAATAAAAGCTATTTTGCTACTCTTTACACATTGTGCATTTAGAAAATTGTTAACATTCTTATTGTACCTTACATACAATCTTAAATAACTTACATTTAAACTCGGACACTCCAATTTGTTAAAATTTTGCAAAACAACAGTTATTGTCGGCCATTTTGTCGAAATCGAAAGTACAAAACTAAACCGTAATGTTTCGCTGTTCTGGTCCCCTACGACTACGTTCGCTGAACAATAGACAACAGTAACCAATAAATTGATGGTTACCGTTGTCTACTGTTCCTCGCACGTAGTCGTAGGAAACCAGGAGAGCGGACCAGTACGATGTATGTTTTGTACTTTCGTTTTTGACAAAATGGCCGACCATCAACGGAATTTTGCAAGATTTTAACAAATTGGAGTGTCCGAGTTAAAATGTAAGTTATTTAAGATTGTATGTAAGGTAGATGAAGAATGTAAACAATTTTC